TGTTGTTCTAATTGTCAACAATTAATAAAACACCAAAAATAAACGCTTAGGTTATCATATGTTATTTGTTTACAAACTATGCTCTACTCAAGGATATGCAGGCCATGGCAATGACATTGCCAGCTGAGGGTGTGACAAGTATATGTGTATGTTGTACAGATATTTTCAAAAATAAAATATTTTTTTATATGASAGATTTTAGAATAGTATAYTTCATATTTTAAAATAGTATGCAAAAATAACAAATTCCAACCCTGCAAATAGCACTGAGGCACACAAAAATTAGAAAAATTCAATTACCAATCAATTAAATGAAAARAATTAAAAAATCAACGCAACAAACAGACGACGAAATTGAAAATATATAAAGCAGAAATTGCGGTGATGTCAAAGTTCAAAGTTGTAAGGAGCACCAGGTGTGGATTTATTGTACATTTACATACATGGTGTGCTGTTAGGCAACAGATGCCACCAGCAACAGACGTACACATGTTTGTTTCATAAAAATAAATTACACCACAGATGCATATAAAAAACGCTATGTTTATAATTGAAAATAGTACTTTGATATGGTAAGCACACAAGCAGCATTCAATCACACGCTATAACTTATCTAACGGATGTTGTGGCAAAGTGCAGCATAGCACAGCATCAGCGCAGCAGGCCACAGCCACTGATAATTGTGGCGTTGAATGAGATGTTAAGTGCTATCTGGAGCGTTTTGCATACACGCATGCACTTAGAAATTCGACATACTTAGATATACATACTGCATGCATATAAATATGTATATCGTACGTACGTGTCTAACACGCTTCCCCATTGTGGCACGTAGTGTATTGAGCCGCAAATGCTGAGCAGTGATGCACTATACATATGTAGAAGCAAAATAATTTGTGGAAATATTTATAGGTTTTCAGCGTTTTTCAYAGATTTTAATACCCTGAACACGGTCTGTCCTATTGTAYATACGCCAACTAGTCCCTCAGTTTTTGAGATATCGATCTGAAATTTTGCACATGTCTTTTTCTYTTCAAGTAGCTGCTCATTTGCCGGAATAGCCGATATCGCTTCGCTATAGCATATAGCTGTCATACAAACTGGGCGATCAAAACCAACTTCTTGTATGGAAAACTTTTTATTTGACGAGATATCTTCATGAAATTTGGCATAGATTACTGTATAAGATAGCGCTACAATCTCCGAACAA